GTGACTTGCCTGAGGTCACATGATGAGTAATAGAATGAAGAATTTAAACCCAGGCACTTTGGCTCTGGAGTCCATACTCTTGATTCTTGACTATGCTATGCTGCCTATACACAGAGAAAGAAGGATAAAGGAGAGAGGCAGGAGTTAAGAGGTAGGCAGGGACCATTTGATATTGCAAAAAATAAAAGATGGTGTCATTGTGCTCCATGCTGTCGACTCCTGATTGTTCTTCTGTATTCTTAGGGGTTGTCAAGGAAATGGTTATGTCTTCTTACCTCACAGCACTGATTCTAGGAGAATCAGTGGAGATGAAGCTACCCCCTGGTAGGCTCCCAACTACCAGTTGTTTTCCTGACCTCACTGTGGCTGGTTTGTGGGAGGCACCAGACAGTCACCACTCCAGAAATGCTGGTTGGGGCAAACTCATAAACACACCCCAAGGGCAAGCAGGTAGTAGGGAGGGTAGTAAAGCCACAGGAAGTCACACAAGGGTCACACATGGTAGTCACTTTAGATGGAGCAAGTTGCCACAGGCCTGGTCTCCTTAATAGGAAAGATGGGTACAAAACTGACCCATGTTGGTGGAAAACAGCATGGAGATGTGTCCCTGCTCTGTACAGGCACTGAGGACTGCCAGACAGCTCCACTCCCCTGTATCTTTCTTCTTCCTTTGGCAGGTACAGTGCAGTCAAGGATCTGCTGTCTGACTTGGAACAGGAGACCAGAGGGGCCTTGAAGACTCTCTTTGGCTTTTCTGAGCTTGAATCTCGAAAGCGACGAGAAGCAGAGCCTTTGAGTTCAGCCTGGGAGGGCACACGGCCAAAATTCATCAACTCAGTCCCACTGCTGTTCTTTGATCAAGATGAGACGAGCAAAGTGGCCAGGGACTTCCTCACGGGGCAGAAGCGGAAAGTCAGAGGGAGTGTCATTCACAAGGCTTCTGATATCATGCACGTTCACCAGTCCAAGCAGGTGGTGGGATTCAAACTGGTGAGATTCGTTCCTCAAAGTTTAGGGACCCAGATTTACTGGAGAGAATGGGTCCATGGACCTTCTCCTTTGCCATTAGCCCTTATAGTTCTGCTGGTTGAACTGAAGTATACCTAGTTCAGGTGATGCAGATACAAGCAATTAAAATTGACTCAGTCGATCTTAAGCAGGAAAGTGTTTCCTAGGAAGCTACTAGTAGCTCCTGAAGGCCTCTCAGAGGACAGAAATCAGGGAAGATTCACAGATCCAGGTGCCAAAAATGGTCAAAAGTCATTTGAGATACTGCTGCTGAGTAAGCTAAGTAAGCTTCCATTATTTCCAGCCTTTTCGTTTATGCTTAAGATTCTAATTCTATCTTGGGACCATCTGATTCACATTGCTTGGGTCACCTGATCACCCCTTGGCTGAGGGAGGGTGAGGCACCTTGAAGGACAGTCTCACCAGATTGTATCTAAAGGTGGAAAGGAAATTTTCCCGAAGCAAAGTTGAGTTGCAGACATCAGAAGGAGGAAAACCGATAATGAACAGCAGCGACACCAAATGTTCTTGTATTACTTGCCTTCCTGAGAACCTGTGGCCTGACTTTATCTCTCCTTCCTGTTCCCATTTGAGGGGCTCTCAGGAAGAAGCCGTCCACCAATCTCGAATTCTATTACCTTCCTGCACAAAATCAATCATCACCCAACTTCTCCATGGGGACACACCTCTGGACCATGGGAGCTATTTCTCTGTCCCTTATAACCTTGATTATAGATTGGGAGGTCCCATGGTTCCATTCATAAATCCTGAAAATAGCCTATCCTCTAAATCGTTAGGACTTGTCAAAGTCTTGCTGGGTCTTTTCATTGGCTCTCCTAGATACCAAACTTTTGATTTTTTTGATTTTGCCTATGAGACTTTTCATAGGCTCTCCTAGATACCAAACTTTTGATTCTCTGGTGTTTGTCCTTTTAGGAGAGTTTTCAAGTTCTGGGTAATGAGGACATCTGGAATAAACCACCATTTCCATGGAAAGCTCTCATATATTCTAAATGCTGGTCCTCCCAACTACCATGTGAGGTTGGGAAGGTCCTCCCAACTACCATGTGAGGTTGGGAAGGATGACACTTCAGTCAACATTTTATAGGTGAAATAATGGGTACATAATAAGGCCTTGCTCAAAGTTCCAGAGATGTGGTGTCAGAGTCTGGGCTAGAATCCAGATTTTTTGGCTGCTGCTGACCCA